TCCTCAGAAATGTCTCCCTTCCTTCCTTGAGCCACGGAGGCCGAGACCCCACATCAAACCGCCCACAGCGAACTTCCTGCAGCGCAGCCCAAAGCCGCTGAGACTTCTGGGGCTGACAGCCCGCTGCCCCCAGCCCTGGGCAGGGCCTCCTCCCTGCTGAGGTCTGTCCCTCGCAGAGCGTCCGGGGAGCTCCCTCGCCCCCCACGGGTGGGCACAGCGAGAACGCACTGTCCGTGGGCCCCAAGCCAGCGGGAGCCCGATGGGACTCTGCCTCCAGAACCGGGGAACCGTCTGTTGCTCCAAGCGCCCCGGCCGGAGTTCCGTCCCGGCAGCTGCAGGCCGCACAGACAGAATGTCATCACGCCGACAGGACAGCTGTGCTTCTGCTTCGTGACCAACGACGTGCAAGACCACGCTGCCCGGGGAGGGCTCAGTGTGAAGGGCGCCTGGACCTCGGCAAGGGCTCCGAGGGTCCACAGTCACGGCCAGCCCCTGGCAGCCAGACGACAGGCCATCTCAGAAGGCTGCACACGGACCCTGCACCCCATCGACCCGCCTGCCTTAGAATGAATTTTGAAGAGAATGCAATGTTTAGCCCTGGCTGGTGTGGCTCAGTCGCATGGAGTGTCGTCCCAAACACCAAAAGGGCACGTACCCAGGTTGCGAGTTCGATCCCCGGTTGGGTGTTTCTCTCTCTCTCCTCTCTCTCCCTCTCTCCTTCCCTCCTTTCCACCCTATCTAAAAAAGTCAATGGAAAACTATCCTTGGGTGAGGAGTAATTTTAAAAGAAGATAATACACAGAAAATGATGATTTCATAGAAACAAGTTATCTGAAAGAACTTGGAAAGGTTCCTATTAACCTGAAGACTTAACTCAACCATAGATATTAAGTGAGTTACTTCCACCAAATCATATTCAAGCAGTGTGATTCTACATGTAGCTAAACATCTAGTAGTAAAGATGTCACCCAAAAAAGGACGCTGACCACGGCCGGGCAACACCGGCGGGAGCCACGTGTTCCCTGGGGCTCTGGCCGGGCCGGCAGGCGCTGCAGAGGACGGGCCGGCGGGCGCTGCAGAGGACGGGCCCTGCGGGCGCGGGCCGGGCGCGGCTGGGCAGACAGAGGCAGCCTGCCGTCAGCGCAGCGCGGGGAACAGCGCCGCGGCCTGGGTGCTTCGGCCGCCTGCCCTCCCCTCACTCTCAGGTCGCTCTGGTCCCACGGCACCGACACCTGCCCGGAGGGAACCAAGCAGAGAGGGGACGGCAGAGCGCCGCTCCTCGCTAGGAGGCCGGGTGGCGGGCGGCGGCGGGGACAGTGCACAGTGGACAGTGCAGCCGTCCGTGGAGCCCCGGTGGGAAAGCGCTAAGGGAGCAAGTGGCCGCCGCGTGGACATCAGGCACCATTACTCACCTACTAATGGTTTTGAAAGGAACCAGGGAAGGCGAGGGAGGACGGGGCGTGCCCGAGGGGGAGGGGCTCTGGACAGGACGAGGGCTGAGCGGCCGTGAGTGCTCCCGGCGGGGACCTGCACCCTGGGCTGGCCGCCCCCGTGAAGCCATGCCCCTGGGACTGCAGGGAAAGCTGCGTCGGCTGGAGCGCTCCTCTTGTCCCTCCCCCAGTCCAGTGCCCGAGACCCCGCACTCAGTGCACCGGCTCTCGCACACGCCTCCACCCCAGGCCCTGCTACAAGACAGCTGGGCTGCAGGGCGGGCGCTGGCCACCAGAGGGTGACGCTGCGGGCTGCTGGCCGCGGGCCTGGGCCCCTGGGAGGAGGAGTGCCCTCCTGGCCACAGCATGCCAGGAGCCATCCCACAATGCCCCAGCGAGCCCTCTGCTCCAGGTTCTCCCGCAGGGCCCAAGGGGAGCAAACGGCCCTTCCTTCCTCAAGGCCTCCAAAGACATGGAGAAGGCCCACTCACTGTCTACCCGAACCAGGAATGAGTGTGACCGGGGGCTCTGAGCACAGCCCACAGTGACCGTGACCAGCTGGCATCCCACTCTGCCCTCGCTCTGGGGCTGGAGGGGGTGCCACCAGCTGGGTCTGAGTCTCAGACTCAGCTCGTCACTGTACACCAAGGTCAGGTGCTATCTGGAGCAGACAGCTGGCAGGTTTGGATTTGGGGGAGTGTGTGTGTGTGTGTATACATGTATGAGTTAGGTTTATACACGCACACACAGCACAGTACCTAGCACAGAGTAAGAATCCAAAATGGTAGCGATGGTGCAATTATTTTGACACACAGGGGATCCGCTTCTCCCTCCCGGGCAAACATTCCCGCTTACGCCTTGCGCGACATGAAGGCAGCACACCCCACTGTCCTCGGAGCCACCTGCGCGCCTCAGAAAGGCAAGGCCGCACGCCGGCATTTCTCTGTCACTGTGTGCTTGGGGGGCTTTGGGTTTCGCTTTTCGTTGTTCGACTTCATAGGCAAATAGAATTCTGAAGAAAGGGAAACCCATGAGCCCACCAACCTAACAGAAAAACGTGACTTTTAAAGGTTACCTTTCAACCCACACGTATTCACGTTTTCCCTTAAAAACCTTACTGTTAAGTATGATTGAGATTTCCACAAACTACCCCAATGACAAAGTCCTCGAGGAGATTCCCGCTCAGGGCTCAGATCCCGGCCCAGATCGGAGATCCCTGTCGCAACCTCGCTTCCATCAGCTCCCTCCTGCCCCGTCAGAAACCAGCGCACATACTAAGAAAGTGTCTGTAGGCCACCCAGACGTGTCCACCATCACGAAGCACCACGCGTGCCCACGCTGTGAAATCAGAGGATCAGCAGGCAAGACGCCGAAAGTCTCTGAGCCCGTGCTGTGCGGGCCCCTCCGCACCGGCACTGTTGCCGCTGTGCCCCCAGATGGACGCACTCCACACAGGCAGCCGGCCCCGAGCCTGTACTCTCCCGGCCCTGAGACTCGGCCCCCCACCTCACCTCCCAGGAGGCCAACAACGTCTGCGCTGAAACAACGCCTGGCCCTCCCGCCGTGGCCCTCCCGCCGTGGCCCTCCCACCGTGGCCCGCCTGGCCTCCCGCCGTGGCCCGCCTGCCCTCACTCGGCAGCGAGACTCGCCGGTGCTCGGCTGCCTGCGCACACACACCGGGAACACGCGAGGGTGTCGTGAGCACAGGGTGAGCACTGTGTGCCCGAAGAGCATTCTCCGTCTCTGTGGTAACAGAGGGCTGGAGCAACACGAGTGCCCACCAGGAGGGCAGTGATGCGTTGTGGAAACGCAGACTCCGAAGAGTCTCTACGGATCACTTCCGAGTCACCAAAGGAGAAATAGCAGCTGTCACCGGAAGAACTGGCAGGCACCGTCTCAACCATGTGATCAAAGTGGACTTCGTCAGCGCTGGGACGCACCAGCACCACAGCCTGTTACAGTGACCCAGAACACAAATGACTGGTGCACAGCAGGGCATGAGACAGCCCGCTGAGGGACCTGCACTCTTCAGGATGTTAGCTCGGGAACATGACACCAGGCTGGGGTGGGCTCCAGGTCAACAGACACGAGAGACGTGACAATGAGCACAACAGGTGATCCTGTAAGAACTGGACCAAAAAAGAGGGGTAAAGGACATTATGGGGACAGTGATCAGCGGAAGGTGAATCAAGTGTTGTCCCGTGGACTGAGAGGTCCCAGTTCAATTCCTGGTCAGGGCCCATGCCAGGGTTGCGGGCTCGATCCCCAGTAGGGGGCGTGCAGGAGGCAGCTGATGGATGTTTCTCATTTCGATCTTTCCATCTCTCTCCCTCTCCCTTCTATTTTAAAAAAAAGTGAGCATGCACTGTGGACAAGGTAACAGCACGGCGTCAGTGTTACATTTCCCGACTTCCACGTCACTGAGACTATATGAAGGAGTGTCTTTGTCCTTAAAAAACACACAGTGAAGTGTCCAGGGGTAAGGGGACAACACCTCTCTCACTGACTCTGGCGGGTCAGAGAAATGTGTGCACATACAGCACCCAGACAAGGAAAACAGGGCAAAATGTCAACAACTGGTGAATCTGGGCCAAGTACTATTCTCGCAACTTTTCTGTAACTATGAAATCACATCGAAATGAAAAGTTCTGCAGGGCCGGTGTGGCTCAGTGATTGGGTGTCGACCCTGCACCAGGAGGTCACCAGTTCGATTCCCGGTCAGGGAACATGCCCAGGTTGTGGGCTCGATCCCCAGTGGGGGGTGCGGAAGGTGGCCAATCAATGTTCTCTCTCATCGATGTTTCTCTCTCTCTCTCCCTCTCCTTCCTCTCTCTCTAAAATCAATAAAGAAAAGAGAAAACCCAGTGTGCAGACGGGAACAGCGTCTTACAAGCTACAAGACTCCGCAGGGCACTGGCGGCTGCCTGTGCGTTGGCCAGGCTCTGCCCTGCTCTGAGCAGCTCTGTGCCCCTTTCTGTGGGCCTCACGCGCCACCTGGTGGCCGAGCAGGGCACTGCCGCCCTCAGGCACCAGCCTCAGCTCCACTCTGGCACCTGCCCCACTAGGTGTGACCTGGGGGCCGGCTGCAAGCCCCAGCACCCAGCAGAGGCCGAGCACAGTGGCAGGGTTCCAGCAGACAAGCGGCACACGCCTCAGTGCACTCACACGGGTGCCACCACCCCACTGCCTGCACTGTCCCTGCCGGCCTGGCGCAACCCCAGCTTGCCGTGGCTCCCTGCAGTGCTCACAGCCTGTCAACCCACCAAGGGAGCCCAGCAGGGAGGCGCCGCCGCAGCAGGGGTCATGACGTCGGTCACCCGCGGCGCACCCCATGAGTACTGTGAATAGCTAGACACCTATCTGCCCAGCCTCGCGGAGCTAACCAAGGGCAGCTCTGAGAAGCCAGAGAGGGGTAACTGAGACCAAACTGCACTGGGAGCAACATTCCCAAACACGTCTAAACAAGCTGAGCTACACGGCAAATGCAGTCCATGGCGACAGCCGGGGTCTTCCCGGTAGCCCTCGCTCAGAGGCAAGACCCCGCGCAGCCCCCCTCCACAGGGCACTCACCGAGGTCTGTGTTGGGGCCAGCGAGCAGCTGCTTGAACTTGTCGAGCCGGGAGGCCTCTCTTTCACTTAACGCTGAGCCGCTGAGGGTACTGGGGTCAGACGACCCGCCCAGGGTGACGGTCGCCGAGTGTGGGAGAGACTGGGACCTCTGCAGAGGGGCAGTGTTGCTGGCACTTTCTGTGGAGGGAGAGAGAACAGAGGGTGAGGGCAGGGCAGCCTCCTGGCCTTCCTGACTGCACGCTCACCACTAAGGCCACGGCCACTTCCCGAGTGCTACGGTGTCACAGCCGTCCCTCCCCCAGGCTGCAGGGTGCAGACCACGGCTTCCGGAGCAGAGATGACACTCGCTGACACCTGTGCCGCTCGCCCTTCACGCTACTGGTGGAGCACTATTCATCAGTAAAACAGACCCGCCCACATAAAAGCAAGACGCTGACCGGACACTCCCAGCCACATCAAGGCCTGACAGCCCCCAGGATGCCCCAGCTCAGGCTGCCCAGGTGACGTGACCCGAGGACCTGCTGGTGCAGGGCTGAGAGGAGGGTGCTTTCGGGAGCTGCCCAGGCCTGAGCACGGGGGAAAGCCCCCAGTCACCGTGATGGGGCTATAGCTCGAGAAGGCACTGAGGACAGCAGGCAAAAGCTGGGGCACACCAGTGACCAGGATGCTGCCAGAGCACGGGACGCTGCCACCGGACTGAGCCTCCCAGATCTCCCGAGTCCACGAGGAAACGGAGAAAGCCAAACCTACTGCAGGCAGGAGGGGGGCGTCCCATGCAAGTTTGTCCAGCCCTCACCCAGTGCACCACTGACCCCAGGACAGGCTGATGGGCCTGTGCCCACGGGGACCCATGGGGACCCACGGGCGAGGTGAGACAGCATGTTACATCAGCGGCCCAGAACCAAGGACAGCCACAGGGAAGAGCGGAGGTCCTCAGGTAACTCAACAAAGAGCCCCACTGAGCCATCCATCTTCAAAGCGAAATTTAAAGTGGAGTAAAAATAAACTCCTGGAAACGAAGCAAGGGGCAGATTCCAGAGGACACGTGCTGTCCACGAGTGGCAGCTGCGGCCGGGCGGAATGGAGACAGCACCCCTACCCCCGTGTCCCCAGGCAAGCTTCCCAGATAAGCTTCGGGAGAAGCCTGCAAACGTGGGCACAGAACAGACCGCAGCCCCTGCTCCCTGCCCATGCGCTCCACCCTCCGCGAAGCGGTGCGGGCAGGGCCAGCTGTGGGCCCCGGGCTGCTCTCCCTCCTCAGCACCCACTACTCAACCACACCTCGTCCCACAGAAGCGCGTGGGCAGGACACAGGCCCACATTCGGCAGCACCGGCTGTGCTGGACCTCACTGACCTGTGGTCTCAGAGCGGACCCGTGCAGGGTGACCTCTGCCCACGGGGCACACTGCAGCTGAGGCGCGATGAGGCACTAAGATGACGGCACTAAGGCGGGACAGGTGGATGTGGAAGGCAAAGCGGCAGTGAGGACCTTCAGGGAACAGTGAGGTCAGCAGCCGGGTCTCCGTCACCGCGAATGGAAAACACAGCAACGCCCCACCTCCGAGGTCTCCGAGAGTGGGGTCTAACCGCCACCAGTTGGCATCCACACAAGACCCCGTTCACAACTCTGTCATGGTCAGCTATGGGGACAGCTGTCACCTGGCTGTGCCCACTGAGCCCTTCGCAGACACAGGTGCACTTTGCCATTAACCCAATGGCCCCTAAGACCAGCCAAGTGCACCCCCCAAGGTCAGGTACAGAAACTTCTTCGACATTCGCTAGGGAGGTCGGGCAGCGGGCGGCGAGGCAGGCACGGGAGCCCGCCACGGGTGGGCTGCAGCCTCACCGTCCAGGCTGGGGGCCGGCCGGTGGCAGGCACTGTGCAGGGTGACCTCTGCCCCACGGGGGCACACTGCAGTGACAGGCACCGACAGAAGTGCTGGCATGGGTATCCACGAGCAGGAGAAGCGCTGCGCGGAGTGGCCGGGCGCGGACGCTCCAGGACGTGCAGATACACTGTCCGTGTGAGCAGCGGTGGGAATGGAAGGGCCCGCCCCTCACCGGAGCAGAGGCCTGGCCTGGGAGGGAGCCCCTGTGCAGAAGGCGAGTGTGGGTGCCACAGGGGGCAGGACACGGGAGGGCCACGTGGCCGCCAGGCTGAGGACAACCTGGTCTACTTCAACAGCTCTGACATCACCACAGCGGACACCAAGAGAAACAGGGAACCGGGATGAGGTCCCGCCTTCAAGGAGCCTGCAGCCCAGCAGACGAAGCTGCAGACAGACACGCCGCCTCAAGGGGAAGCAGGGCTGACCTCCCTCCGCTGGGGCGGCTCCCCGGCCGCAGACCCTGCACACATCGCCTCCCCTCTGCGGCTTCCCTGACGAACCCCTGGCCCTCCTCAATGAGAGAACTGGGGCGTCACCCGGATGCCTCTGGATCCTGCCCACCACTCAAGTCCCATCTGTCTCAGGAGATGACAGCAGCCGTGCACCCGTCTCCCACTGAGTGCCAACTGGCACACGCGACAGAGCGCCTCCCTGAGCCAGGACCAGCCCCGGAAACAGGGCCTGACGCGCTCACGTCCACGCCGCCACCGCACCGAGACCTGGAGACCGGGAGCTCGGACAGCAGTGGGCCAGGCCCCGGGGGCCAGGAGCCCCTCGGCTGGAGGGCACTGGGCACACGCACGGGAGCTCTCATGGGCGGGCCCACCCTGGGCATGGGCTACGTGCAGTAGCACACACCCTGCCCCGGAAGTGACACCCAACATGTCCCGACACTGCCACATGTGCCCCGGGAGCAGAACTGCCGGCTGAGACGGCCTCCCTGCCAGGCCAGGGCAGGGCAAACAGCAGGGGCCCCAACCCTGGGTCTGAACCCCAGTCCCACAGCTCGGGGCGTGGTCTGGGCAGCTACACGGCCTCTCCACACCTCTCTGTAAGCCACCCCCAGGGCGGCTGCAAACCGCAATGAGCTGATCAATTACAAGGGCGCTGTCAGCAGTGGGCACACTACAAGCTGCGGAGGGCGGAGGGCCGAGGCGGACGGTCAGCAGCCCCTCCCGCACAGGCTGCTTGCGTGCCCTTCACCTGGGCCCTTCCAGGAGGCCAGCCCAAGCCTCCCTCTGGTCGAGGTCCCCCAACCACACACCACATGTGTCATGGACTGACTGCTATGTCCCCCAAAACCCCTCTGTTGAGGTCCACCCCTCATGGGATGGTGGTAGGAAGAGGGGACTTTGGGAGGTGATTAGGTTTGAATGAGGTCACGGGGGAGGGGGGGGTCAGTGCCCTGAGAAGAGTCAGACAGCCTGCTCCCCTCGCTCCCCACCATGCGAGGACACGAGAAGACGGCCATCTGCAGCCCAGAAGAGGCTGTCCCCAGAGCCCGAATGCTGGCCCCCGAGCTTGGACTTCCAGCCTCCGACTGAGACACAACTTTTCCAGCTATTGTTACAACGGCCCCAGCTGACGAGGAGACTGGTGCCCCCGCCAGACAGGACGCTGCACAGCGCAAGGCCTTCCATTCGGCTTGTCCCCTGCGCACCACAGCCCTGAGCTCGGAGCGCTGAGCCATCCGCATGCCCATGGGGCAATGGGGTCCTCCATCCCAGACCCTGGCACGGAAGGAGCAGAGGCAGCGACAGCAATCTCCAGAAAGGCCAGTGGCCCAGGCAGGCGGGCCCGAAATCCAGACAGGCTCCACCCTCCAGGAGTTTGGTCCGAACCCCCCCACAGACCCGGGGCCACAGGTAAGGGTCCCTCGAGCAGTGATTCTCAGCCTTCCCGATGCCGCGACCCTTTCACACAGTTGCTCGTGTTGTGGTGACCCCAACCACAACATTATTCCTGTTGCTACTTCATAACTGTAATTTTGCTCCTGTTATGTCTTAGGTGACCCCTGTGAACGGGTCGCTCACCCCCAAAGGGCCGTGACCCACCGGCTGAGAACCGCTGCCCTGGAGGCTCCCCAGCAGCTGCAGGGAGGCACGTGCTCTGGCCTGTCGCGGGGCTGTGCCCGCTGGAAGCGCCGGCTGGAGTAACCAGTGCACACAGAGCGGGGAGGGACCGGCCTCGCGCTCAGGGTGGCCCTGGCACGACTGCCCACGGAGCCACGTCCCTGCCAGTCCAGGGGAGGAGAGGCTCAGCCAGGGCACAGGGCAGCGCTCCTCCTGCCGGGCAGGCCTGCGCCCCGGATGGCAGCCTTGGGGCCTTCAAGGGCAGGCTCCTGCTGCAAGGGAAGGGCCCTCCTCCTCGTCCACATGGAAGGACTCTGTCCTTCTACAGAATGCACCGCGGTTCGAGTCCCCAGCCCACCTGCAGGACAGGCTGTGTGGCTCTCGCTGACAGACTTCACCAGCCGGAGGTCACTGCCAGGGCCCGGAGGAGGCTCTGCCGAAGGCTGTGGCTCCGGCCCCAGCGGCCCCAGCGGCCCCGGCGGCCCCTGCAGCTTGTGCCGCTCCTGCCGCTGGCTGTGGTCGCGCAGCACGCGGTGCGCTGTCTCCATGACCACCTCAGAGCTCAGGCTCTCGGCCGCCATGGCCAGGAGCTCGTCGTCGTCTTCGCCGGCATCCCAGGCGTCGCTGGTGTTGCTCTCAAACTCCTGGAAGGTGCTGACTCTCTTGGCCTTCACGGGCGTGGTGGGCACCTTGGGCGTCGCCTTGAGCAAGCTGCAGAGCAAAGGCAGTCTTATCGGACCCTGAGCCCTCGGCTTCCCCCACAACCAGCAGAAGGGAGCCCCAGGCAAAAAGCACACACCCTTTGCGGCTTTGATGGAGCTGGGCGGGAGGGTAGAAAGCAGGCCCGGCTCGGAAGAGCCAGAACGACTGGGCCGAGCCGCGGAGGACTTGGACAGGACCGGAGGGAGAGGCCCGCGAGGTCTGTGCCGCAGGCAGGAGCAGTCTGCGTGCAGACAGGAGCAGTCTGCGTGCAGACAGGAGCAGTCTGCGTGCACACAGCACTGCCGCCAGGCGCCCAGGCTGCCGCAGCTCCGGGCGGGGCTGCACGCTCTCACCCCCACGCGCTGCCACCCTCCCGAGCAGCGCGGGGGCTGGAGGCAGAGGGGCTGCTCACGGAGCACGGGCCTTTGGGGTATGCCAGGAACACGGGACCCCACAGTGTGGCCGCAGACGTCGGCCGCTGCGTGTCCGGTAACTCCTGGGACAGGCAGCCCAGCAGAGCCGCCTCCTCCGGCTCACCTGTGGCGGAGGAACCCGCGCCGGGCAGAGCAAGCCTAGGGCAGCGGGACGGGGAGCAGTGGACAGCGAGGGGCACAAACCACCACCATTCACGGCCTGGCCAGGCCGCAGGCGGGGGCGCCAGCTGTGTCCCCTGCACAGACGGCCCGCTTCGGGCTGTGGCTCCCATGGCTGCACCCCCAAGAGGAGGACGTGACAAGGCCAACAATCTCTCGTACAGCCAATGCCTGATACGTGTTCACTGAACGCAAGACCATTTCCTCCCGCAGGAATACCAGAGAGTTGAGGGCCGCCCAGCCCCCAGAACCAGCCTACACACCCCAGGGAGAGCTGAGGCTTCACTTACGTGCCATGTAACAGTGGATCAAAAGGGGGATGCTGGGCGCCGTACACATGCTGGATGCTATTTCAAAAGAAAGGGAGAACACGTTAGCATCTTTCCAGCTGCCCAGGGCCCACCACTGACTTAGGAAAAGGACCAGCACCTGGAAACCCACAGGCCTGAGGGAAGCGACTGCCCACCAGCTGCCCCGCCGCCCTCCGGCCCTCTGGGAGAGATGGATCACACCACACACAAGCAGGGCACTCAGCCCTCCCTGCCAACGGGCCTCAGGCACGACCACAGGGACAGGGCTGCTGGGAGCATAGGGGGTCCCGGCAGCCTCTGCGTTCGGACACGTCACAGGCCGGACACCGACCATGAACGCATCAGCCATCTCCCAGCTGGTACCATTCTGTCTAAAGACGGACTGCAGAACACGAGACAGACGGACTGCAGAAACACGAGACGGACGGACTGCAGAAGCACGAGACGGACGGACTGCGGAGCACGAGACGGACGGACTGCGGAGCACGAGACGGACGGACTGCGGAGCACGAGACGGACGGACTGCGGAGCACGAGACGGACGGACTGCAGGAGCACGAGACGGACGGACTGCCGAGCACGAGACGGACGGACTGCCGAGCACGAGACGGACGGACTGCAGAAGCACGAGACGGACGGACTGCAGAAGCACGAGACGGACGGACTGCAGAAGCACGAGACGGACGGACTGCCGAGCACGAGACGGACGGACTGCCGAGCACGAGACGGACGGACTACAGAAGCACGAGACGGACGGACTGCAGAAGCACGAGACGGACGGACTGCAGAAGCACGAGACGGACGGACTGCAGAAGCACGAGACGGACGGACTGCCGAGCACGAGACGGACGGACTGCCGAGCACGAGACGGACGGACTGCAGAAGCACGAGACGGACGGACTGCAGAAGCACGAGACAGACGGACTGCCGAGCACGAGACGGACGGACTGCAGAAGCACGAGACGGACGGACTGCAGAAGCACGAGACAGACGGACTGCCGAGCACGAGACGGACGGACTGCAGAAGCACGAGACAGACGGACTGCCGAGCACGAGACAGACGGACTGCCGAGCACGAGACAGACGGACTGCAGAGCACGAGACAGACAGACTGCACAAGCACGAGACGGACAGACTGCAGAAGCACGAGGAAGAGATCAAAGCAATTTTTGTAAAGACTGAATGGTTATTATAAAAGTCTCATGCTCATCAGAATAAATTCGGAATACAGATGGAAACAAAATAACCCTCATGGCAGACAGCCATGTCGGTCACCCCTTCCTCCTGGGGACACCCAGCCAGGGATGGCCATGTGACAGTACAGGTCGGTCAGCAATAATGCCAGTCCTTCCTGCCTGACGGATGGAGACAGCAGAGCTCACACCCCTCTGGTCCCTGGCTCTCCCCTCCTCCTGCCTGGAGCACAGCCATGGCCTGGGGTCCCTCAGCCCCCGAGCCCCCATGAGAAGCAAACAGGAGGAATAAGCCACCAGGACAGGCGGCAGGCAGGAAGAGGAGAGGGCGCAGGGGTCCGACGGCACTGCACCCCTGCCAGCCCGGCCAGACACTCCCCCTACCCAACTCCCAGTCCAGGGACGCACAGCCTGTCTGTCTGAGGCCCTGGCCATCAGATATGCCCCAGACATGGTCCACCTAGAAGAGGCCACAGCCCTGGCCGGTTTGGCTCAGCGGTTAGAGCGTCGGCCTGCGGTCCTGAGAGACCCGGGTTCGGTTCCCGCTAAGGGCGCGTACCTTGGTTGCAGTTTGTCCCCGGCCCTGGTCGGTCGTGCGGGTGGCAGCCACTCGATGTGTCCCTTTCACATCGATGTTTCTCTCTCTCTCTCTGTTCCTCTCTCTCCCTCCCACTCTACCTGAACAAAAAAAAAAAAAGAAGAGGCCACAGAACATTCTGATGCAGGACTTGGGGGGGGGGGAGCTGTCAAGATAAACATAGACCTAGACTGTCTGGTATATAGATAAATGTGTTAATTAGTTACAGTAGACTAAATCCTACCTTTTTTACTTAGCATTAGATCGTGCCTAATTCCCTGTATCATTATTAATTCTTCAATTTACTTAAATGCATTTATTTACTTTGCATGTGTTGTTTGATAGCTACAAAACAATTTAAGCAGCATGTATAAACTTAAACCATAATCATGAGAAGTGCACACAGGATTTCCCTAAATATTTCTCTGCAATCCCTTGTAAATCTACCATTATTTCTGAATTTTTAAGTTTTACTATTGTAGTAATCGAATGACCACCAGCTGGCTCATCACTGCCTGGGCCACCTCCCTGGACACTGCCACCTCTCACTTCACTGTCCCACCATATGGCTACACCATGACTTATGTAACCAGTGTTGACTGTGAGACAGTCAACTTGCTTAAAATTGTGTGTGATTGTAAAAACAGCAGTAAACATCTCTGGGGACAAATACTTGCCCACAACTATGAGCTGCACGAGGATAAGTCCCCAGAAATGGACAGCGGAGACACACAGGACACTCTACAAGGGCTCCGGCACCCAGGGAGACGGCAGAGCGGCCGCCCTGGCGATGGGACAGGCTGCAGGGCGCTGCTCATGGCCGGAGGGAAGTCTCCGTGCTCTGTGCGCCTCCTCCGCGATCAGCAAGGGAGCCGTGGTCACACGCTGCTCGGTGCTGCTCCCTCTCTGCAAACTCCCTGTGCAGACCTTTTGTCTGTTTTCCTAAGGGGCTGTTCACCCTTTTCTTACTGATTTTCGAACCCTCTGGAAAACAGAAGGCCCCTTTAGCATTCAGGCAGTGTGGCTGGCAGAACGAGGGCCCCTCAAGGACGTCACAACCTAATCCCAGGACCTGCGGCTGTGTCACCGCTACGGCAAACGGGTCTGTGGAGGTGCTTAAGGACACAGCCGCTGGGGCTTCCCTACACTGTGCAGCCGGGCCGCCTGACCACACGTCCTTACGGGTGGACTTGCCAGCTGTGCTCGGAGGGAGCCTCACCAGGGGCGATGCTCAGAGAGGCTACGGCACTGGCTGTGATGAGGGCAGGAGACCACGAGCCAAGGGACGTGGGAGGACTCCAGAAGCTGGAACAGTAAGGAAACGGGGGACAGAAGCTTAGGGAGCCTGCCCCAGGCCAGGCCCAGCGAGCAGGGTGCACAGCCAGCTTAGCGCCAGGGCTTAGCGCCAGGAGTCCCCCACACGCACCTTGCGGGGCACCCGCATCACCAACTAGCTGCTGCCTCACAGGGGTGGGCACCAGCCTGGACTTGGCATCTGTGACTCCCTGCAGCGTCTGTGTTTCTGCTGAAGACTCGGGGACCTCCAGGCAGCACCTCCCGTCACCCCACATGTGTGTGGAGTTTCTATTAATACTCTGTATGTCTTTCTGCAACTTTCTGTCAACAGTGTCTTTATGTGCCAGTGTTGATTCATGCAGCCCGGGTTTGCTGTCCTGTGGGTTTCACTCGAGGTACACGAAGGGGGTATTTCAGCAGTCAACCAGCTTTTCAACACGACGTTCACATGGACACCCAAGTCCGAAGAGGCAGAGCTGTCCGGAAGGCCGGGGAGCAGGAGCCTGCCCGCGTGCCTGCCTGGGCTATGCAGGGAGCCCCGAGAAGAGGGGGTCCCAAGGAGCCACAGCGGAATTCAGGGGAGTCCCTGAGAAGCCACTGGTCTGGTTTCTTTTTTAAATACATAGCCTTAGAAAAACAGTAGAGAAAAATTAAACAAAAACAAAAAGTGGCCCTTTGAAAAGATGAACAAAGTCAACAAATCCTTAGTAGACTGACTAAGAGAAAAAGAGAGAAGACGCGAATCACTGACCCCAGGCCTGAAGGAGACATGGCTCCGACCTGCAGAAACACGGTGGTGAGGAGGACCGTGGACAACTGCACAGCGATAGATTAGGTTGCTTAGATGGGTGAGTTCCCAGAGAGACAAAAACAACCGAAATTTAATGGAGAAAAAGAAAATCTGAATCCACACACTCGTGTGAAGAAACGGAAGTAGTCACCTGGACACTCCCTACAGAAAGCCCAGGCCCGGGGCTGCTCTCACTGGTCAGTTCTAACAGATACATAAGAAAGAATTAGGGCCAATTCTTCAGGAAATCTTCTAAAATCTAGAAGCAGAAGGAACACTTCCCAGCTCATTCCATGACACCAGCATTACCCTGATACTAAAACCAAGCAACTGGTTGTGCGGGTGGCAGCCACTCGATGTGTCCCTTTCACATCGATGTTTCTCTCTCTCTGTTCCTCTCTCTCCCCCCCCACTCTATCTGAACAAAAAATGGAAAAATGTCCTCGGGTGAGGATAAAAAAAAATAAATAAAAATAAAACCAAGCAACAACAACACAAGAAGAAAACCACAGACCAATATGTCTTATAAGCACACATGCAAAAATCCTCAGCAATATACTAGTAAACCAAATACGACGTTTTTTTAAAAACTACTGTCCAGCTGGTGTGGCTCAGTGGTTGAGCGTCGGCCCGTGCACCAAGAGGTCGCCGGTTTGATTCCCGGTCAGGACACATGCCCAGGTGGTGGGCCCGATCCCCAGTGGGGGGCATGCAGGAGGCAGCCAATCAATGTTCTCTCTCATCAATGTTTCTATCTCTCTCTCCCTCTCACTTCCTCTCTTTCTCAAATCAATAAAGAAAGAAAATTTAAAAAAAAAAAAACCTACACATCATGCCTTTGCCAGTGTGGCTTGGTTGGAGCACTGTCCTGTTCACCAAAGGGTCACAGGTTCGATTTCCAGTTGGGGCACATACCTGAGTAGCAGGTTCAGTCCCCGGTCAGGGCACGTATGGGAGGCAGCCACTCAATGTGTCCCTTTCACATGGATGTTTTTCTCTCTCTCTCTCTTTCTCCCTCCTATTCTATCAGAACAAAAAAATGGAAAAATGTCCTCGGGTGAGGATAAAAATAATAAATAAACAAAGAGACTGAGTGAATGGTATTGTATGTGAATTTAGACGGGTGAATTATATTGTATGTGAATCTCAATAAAGATGTAATTTTTTACGGCAGCCGAGCT